CAGAGGCACGAGGCTAAGCACTGGGTACTCATTCCTTTGCAAGTTAATAAATGCACATAAAATATATTGTATGGTTTGCCAGATGGTACAGGAGACCCAGAGGGAATTCGGGCTACAAAACTGATATAGTTGGCAGGATAAAGTAATTACAGCCTTGGGGATGTGGACCTCAGAAAACAGTGCTGTTCCCACTGCCCCTGTGGCAGGTCAGCTGGGCTCTGAGTCCCAAATCCAGGAGAGAAGCCAATCAAAACCCACATGCTTAATGGGGTTAGGGATAGTCATATGGTTTCTACAATGGATCATAAAACCTGTAACCAAAAAGAGGCCAGCCATGCAGAAGTGTGGGCCACAGCTATGTTGTAAATGTGGGGATATGCTGTGGGTATGTGAAGATTTGTTAAAGGTTACCCAAAGGCTAGAAAATCGTTTACCTTCTCTGGACCCAAATGGAGTGCCCAGAAAGAGAGAGAACAGCCACTTTGCGTGATAAAAGATGTGCCAGAGGCAGGGAAAGCTGAAAAGGCTGAACTGGCAGACCCAGTTGCATAGCTAGAGAGAGAAAAAAGGCAGGACACTTTGACTTGTATAAAGTCCAAAGACTCAGAGGAAAAGACAGATAATAGTAAAAAGGAAAAAAAAAAAAAAGCTAACTGTGTTGTAGCTAGGAAATAGTCCATGCTAGAACTGTTAAAACAAGGAAAAACTTACAAGCAAGCAAGCAGAGAGCCCCTGGCCATGTGGCTTGTGAGAGTATGGGACATTGGAGCAAATGACATCAGCCTAAGTCCTTCAGAACCTTCACAGCTGAGTTATATAACCACCCATCCGTCTTTGTGATACAGGCTGTTCAACCTAGGCCGGTGCTTGGGGGAAGTGGGGGGAAGTCCTTAATGGGGTGGCTGGTTGAAGGCATTAAAGGTACATGGTTGTCACCAAGGGAGACTAATATGATTAGCAAGGGCTGGAGGACTATAAAGGAGGGGCAGGCATTCTTGAGAGAACTAGGTATGAGAAAAGCAATATATGATGTCCAGTTCCCTGGGACAGATAAGACTGAGTTCACCAGAGATCTGAAAGAAAGCCTAATTCAACTGGGACCTCGAGAAGGGCATGGGGCTTTAATGGTTTTACTAAGCCCTTTGATGGGACAGGATCTTTGTAAAGTGAGATAGGCTTTGGCAAATCTAAATGATTATGACCAGCATGCAAAATGTGTCTATAAAGTAACAGAACACCCTATAAAAGATATAATAAAGACCAGACCGAAGAAATGATCCACTTGGGTTACTGGAAGGTAAATGTGGTAGACTTATGTCAAGTCCAAATCCCCAGAGAAAAAAACTGATAGAAAATCAAATTTGGTACTCAGGCATTTCTGGAAAGTTTTGAAACCAGAAGAACAGTTTACAAAGGACATTCGAAGGATAACAGCTGTATAAGTGGTGGTTAAGAATTCCCAAGGATTAAATAAGATGCATTTCTCTTTTTATAAAGGTTAAACTAGAGATGGAAGCAGGTTTCCCCACCAAGTTCTCCAACAGCAACCTGGTGTGGTCAATGGGAAGATTACAGATGTGGCTACAGTCAGAAGCAGAACCAGATCCTGTCTAACTCAGGGAATCAACAAGTGGTGGGGGGACAGGAGAAGCCCCCTGCCTCCTTAGCCCAGTGCAGGGTCAGACAACTGGCACAAACACCTGTAAGTGTATCAAGAATAAAAGAATCCAAAGGGATAACTAAAAATGGTAAAGAGCTAACCAAATTAAAGTCTTGAACCCATGCTATGGTACCTAACAAGGATGTATGGAGAAAACAGTTAATACAAATGGACAAAACCTTTCCATGCTGTGTGAGACCCTATCTATGAGTGATTTAATATATAATGTTAATGTTCCTTCGAGTGTTTTACAGATGTAAAACCCATTTGGAAGATACTTGAAAAAGCAAAGGCCAGCTATAGCTGTATGATTCTAGGGAGTTTTACGTAGGTTGGGTAAGATGAGGATAGAGACTCTCAAACTACAAAATTGTTAAGAACATCTACAGTACCAGGTATGGGTTCCACCCCCCCATGAGCTGTTGGTCGGAGAGAGACCCTGGAGGTCCTCCAATTCACCAAGGCTATTGCCATTAGTGTTGGTTGTACACTAGAAAGGTAAATAAGACATTGTTTCTGAAGACACTGCATGTTGTGAGCATGGGAAAAGAAGAGATGAAACGGAGACTAAGCCAAAACAATCTGTGCCACTGGATGGATGACATTCATATTGCCAGGAGGCTCTATACAGATGGTTGGGGAAGAAAGAATCCCATATAGTTCTACTCAACGATGGACCCTGTGTGCTGCACACTATGGACATGCCAAACAACACCTGCAAGTGCAATAATGGCTCAACCAACACACCTACAACTGACAAATTTCTAATTGGATCAGGCCCACTCCTAGAGGTAGAACACACATCTGGTGCTCTAGACCAGGCCAACGTCTTGTATCAAGACAGCTACTGGCCCTCGGAGAAGCCATCCTGAGTGTATTGTTTAATGAGAATGGTACACCTACTGGGATTCCTTCTAGGCATTTGTATTTACATTCATGTTTATGTAAATGTGTCTACTTCCTTACATTTGTCTTTATAGTAGAAGAAGCCGCACTGAGATAGAACAGGGGCCAAGGCCTAAAGATGACTAATGGGGAGGCCTAAGAAACCACTATCTCGCTGTGATACAAGAGAGATTGCCCTACATCTATCACCCCCTCCAAGGCTCAAGGGCTTTAGTGGAAGATGGACGGGAAGATTGTAAGAGTGGAGGAAAGGGGCAGAGTGTCTCTTGATTGGCCGGTTCCTCCAACTATGAAGGGGATGCTGGGAGCCATCTTGGGACAGAAGCTGTAAGCCATGAGGAAGCTGCAAGCCGTGGGGAAGCCACGAGCCATTGGGAAGTTCAGGAGCCATGGGAACGTGCAGCCATGCACTACAGAATGGCCCAATACTTATGGACCTGGGGAGAGATCACGGGCCCCTGAGGTGTGAACAAATGCTAACAGGGACTATGGTAGTCATGGCACGGTCTGATACGGTGGGCTTTAAATTGCGCCACAGGGGGTGCAGGGCTAGGCGCTGAGTACTCATTCCTTTGTAAGTTAATAAATGCACATAAAATATATTAAATGGTTTGCCTGATTGAGCAGGAGACCCAGAGGGAATTTGGGCTACAGCTATCTTCTTCAAAACCAAAGAAAACACATGCAGAAAACCAATGAAAAAGTGTATTTCAGTAAAAGGTACTACATATTTATAGTCGTCCTCAACATTAATACTGCGATAAGAAAATAGTCACAAATTGAACTTCATTGTCTAAGAGGTTGGCATAATAGAATTTAAGGATTATTTTTCAAGCACATATAAACAAGCATGAGAACCTGAATCTGGATCCTCAGAACCAATGTAAAACTCTGCATGTGGCACATTTCTGTAACCCTAGAGTGAGGAATACAGACTCCAGGGTCTCATGGACAGTGAGTCCAGGCAATAGCTGAGTACTAGCTTCAGTGATAGTCTCTGTCTCAAAAAATAAGTTGGAAAGTGATAGAGCAAGAAAATTGTAATTGACTTTCATACACACATGCGCAAAAGCACCTACAGACAAATGTATACACACATATTTCCACACAGAAAAATATGATAATAAAATTTAAATGCAAAACGTGTAATTTTTAAAATGATGATTAAAATTATAACAGCAGGACGTAGGAATGGGGGGAGGAAGAAAGCTCATAGCTGGCATAGTTACTGAAAATTATGTTGAGGGAGATATCTTGGCAAAGAAAATGACATGTTTTTTAAAAAGGACTAAAAATAATCTTTTTCTCTACTTTCATTCTTGTGTATGATCATTGGACTGCAACAACATCTCTGAGTCTCACAAGAGTGATTATGCTCAAAAGAAAATACAACTATAAAATGATTAGGGACCAGACCTATTTGGAGTCCATGTAAATGGGAAGAAGCTTAGGCAGGTAAGGACAAATCTATCATCTATTTAACTTTACATGATTGCACTTTCGTCTTGTTGCTCTTGACTTTTAATATGATCCTGACACAAATTCCCACTTCTAGGCTCCCCACACTCTGCATGACACAGATTCACTAATATACATGCAGGTATAACAGTCATACACATAAAGTAAAAATAAATAAATCAAAAAATTAAAAGAAAAAGACATATACAGAGAAAAAGGTAAGGACGATGAGAAAAGATGAGCTTTTTAACACCACGCAGAGATGCCTCAGACAATTTTATTTCTGCCAGATTCTTGGTTTTGAACAACTGGCATCCAGACTTGGAAGAAAATAATTTTTTTTTTGTTTGTAAGCTAGCCAATTCTGGCATGTCATACTATTACAATCAGTTTAGCATCTATGCATGTGTCTGTGGTTATGTGTGCAGGCATAATAGTGTACAGAAATGTAGCTAGCAGCAACCAGATGCCACTAGTTTAGCCGTGTAAAGTGCCACACAAGGTGTGAGGTCTTTGGTTTGTAGTTTAGCATCACTATACACCCAGGTGTAAGCATGCATCTATACTGACAGTTCTAAAGCAAGACAGGAGATGAAGACAGAGAATCCCCCTGAAATTTCTGTACCAGGAAATCTGTTAAAATGCATAGCAGGCAGTGAGGAGACCTTGTTTCAAACAAGATAGACAAAGATTGAAACCGAAAGTTATTTTTGGCCTGTACATGGATGTCCAGACTCACACGCACAAACATGCTCACACATGAATATATACATGCAACATGTACATCCACAACCACACATAAATTTTAAGATTTATAAATCATATTCTATTTCATCTCAACAGTGATTCTGTTTCTAATGTAATATTAAAGCCTGATAAAAAGTGAATGGAAAATAAGTAAGAAAATATATCAAAAAAAAAAAAAATTAAAGTACCAAAGGCAATCGCTGGAAGAAAGTGTCTATCTAAACAAAATTTAAAGTTTCTGAAAATTTTTCTTCAAAAATCTTCTCATTGCCTCTTTCACATCTTTGTTCCTCAGACTGTAGATGACAGGGTTCAGCATGGGAATCACAATGGTATAAAATGTCGACACTACCATGTCATGTGCCAAGGAATAGTTGGAGCTTGGTCTCACATACATGAAAAGGCTTGTCCCATAGAAAATGGACACTCCAGTTAGGTGAGACCCACATGCAGAGAAGACTTTTCTCCTCCCTTCAGCTGAATTCATCTTCAGAATGGCCATAAGGATGAAACCATAAGAGACCAGGATGATGAGGATAGTGACTATTTCTATGGAGCTCACAAAGAAGAACAACAGGAGCTCATTGATGTAAGTGTCAGAACAAGAAATAGCCAGCAGAGGAGGGATGTCACAGAATATATGACTGATTTCATTAGATCCACAGAAGGACAGGCTGAAGGTGGCCACGGTGTGGATAATCGCATGCAGAATTCCACCAGCATAGGAAGCAATGATGAGCGGCACATAGATCCTTGGTGACATGCTCACTGCATAGAGAAGTGGGTCATGGATGGCTACATAGCGGTCATAAGCCATTGCCGCCAACAGAAAGCATTCTGTGGTTCCAAAAGTAACAGCGAGAAACAACTGTGTTGCACATCCATGGAGAGAAATGCCTTTGTTTTTTGACAGGAAGCCTACTAACATATTCGGGGTGATGTCTGAGGAATAGCAGGCATCTACAGAAGACAATACACTCAGAAAACAGTACATAGGGTTGTGGAGTTTTGAATCCCCAATAACTAAAATAATAAGTCCTAAATTTCCTATGAGAGTGAAGAGATAAATCGCTAGAAAGAGAAAAAAGAGGATGACCTGTAGTTCCACATTGTCTGTGAGTCCCTTGAGAATGAAGGTGGTGGCTTCTGTGATGTTCTTCATGTTTCAATCTGAAGACGCTTGAAGAGATTCAGTTTACTGTCCATAGAACTGGAAACAAGTGATAATGGCATGAGTCAAGAAACATGGATATGTCTTTCTATGGTCCTGTCAGTGGTCCAGGAGACATGAGCTACATGTCTGTGGAAGCATTCATAGCTCACGAGGAGACTGAAACAGGATATACTGCTGCTGGATGTTGTGGAAATGAATTTGTTGCTAAAAATGGTCTATAGACTCAATGCAACCTTCTTCAAATTCAAAAAACATTCTTTAGGGAACTATAAGAACATTTTTTACATTAATTACGGAAGAAGAAATTTCCCAAATAATTAATATATAATTACCTATATTTTTATAGATTATTGAGATTAGAGGAACATTAGAAATAATTAACAAAAAGTGCATTACAGGATAGAGGACTATTAATTTTTTTGCGATATTAAAGGATATGCTCCCCTGACAGCAGATGAATGGAATGCCTGCTTCTCACCTGTCTTCCGTAGTGTTTTTGATTCTTTTAAATGGTCTGCTTTCTTGTAGGGCAAGTAAAACCACATGCTCTGTTTATGGTATATTATTTATGTCTAAATGCATAAATCAATATTTGTATTTTTTTTAATTTTCAGGGACTGTTGCTTTTCAATAGGTAGATAAAATGCATATAAATCTGATATTGATAAATGTATTACATTCACCTATGTATTAGGAATTAAACAGTTCCATACACTGTATATAGTAACCCCAATTTAAATACTAAATAACTGATCCTCATATTTTAAGAATCCCAAAATGTGCTATAAATCATTGAAAAATTCATTGTCTTACTCATAGAACCAGCGGAGTCATGTTTAGTTGTGTCAAGCGTGTAGTTAATTCAAACTCTTTATAACTACTTATGCTATGGTTAGGTTAATGAAGCCCCAAGAGGTGGCCCGGGGGAATATAACCAAATTAGCTTCTGGTTCAAACACGCAATGTTATGAATTATTTCATAATAATATAATAAATCACTCACAGAATAAAAGCACGAAGTGTAAACTTTATTTGAATGAATGAACTTAGTGTCTGATGTTAAATTGTGGCTCTGAAAATCTATTTTAAAATATTTATTAGATAAGTAATTTAAGTTATGGCTTTGAAACAGTTATAAATTTGATTTACATGCAAGGCAGTTTGCAAGCACTGGTAATTTAAGAGATTTAATGTAGCAACTAATTGGTGATTTTAGTAAAATTTGATAAAGTAAAACAGTGTTTTTGAGTATCCATCAGATGGGTTTATTTGGCATTAGAAACCATCATACACTTATTTAGTGTCATAAAGTCTAAATTATACAAATCTTTCACTTACTCGGATGTATAGGTCCTTTAAAAGTTTTTTCCACTGTTAACTCACATAAATGGACTAAGTACACCTTAGAGAATAACTTACATATGTCTACCACTTTGATACCTCAAAAGTGGCTTTTTTGATGTTGAAAATTTAAATCCTATATATCAAGCCCATTCCTCTCTCCTGAACCCTGTGTTGGTGATCTTTCTATGAATGATGTCCTTGCCTCTCTATGATTAAACAACCATGAAACCAAGAAACCAAAGACATTTAAATATATGTTGACTCTTTCCTTTAACACTTCTGCTTCATTTATGGTGCTCTAGGTACATATGTTCCAGTATTTTCCTGTATGAAGAGAGATTAAGAACAGATATTTTCTTTTCTTCTGATGAAGATTAGTTTTCACTGTCTCCAAAGAGTGATCATTCTGAAAAATAACAAGAAATTTTTCACTAGATCATGGTGTCAAAAAATCTCCTCCTCAAGCAGTTAATTCACCAGCTGTGACTGATTTTCTGTGGTAGAATGACTGCCTAGCATGTGAAAGACTCTGCATTCAATACCAGAATTGGTAATAGATGGAGACTATTATATAAAAACATTTGCAACAGGTGGAGACTATTCAGAGTTACACAGCTGGTTGCACACAGACAATAAGTGTCCGTGACACATCTACTAAATGGAACCTCTACACCTGGAGGTCATGGAACATAGTGGAGCAGAATAGACTCTCTTAACTCACACCAGCAAAGCTTTCATATGCAACAGAGTGCAATGCATAGAGAAGGCCACAACTGGCCAAAGTGTAAAGAATGAGACTGCTGAGTGCGTGTCCCTGGATAGGACTGGTATAATAAAAATCATCCCCCAAGGGTCACATGATATTTAGATTAATCAATATAAAAGAACATTACTGTTCTGTTCAATACTAAATGTATTAAAATTTGTTGATCTTTAGATTAACATTGTACTGTAAATGAAAGTAGATTCTCATCTCTCATCCTACACACACACACACACACACACACACAGAGAGAGAGAGAGAGAGAGAGAGAGAGAGAGAGAGAAATGTAAGAAGAGAAACACTGAAAATTCTAGAAGAAAAAGTAGGGAACCATCTAAAGATATAGGCTAGGGCAAGCATGTTCTGAGCAGGATCTCTTCCACTCATGAAATAAGGATAACTGGGGATTAGAATTTAAAAAAAAATTCAAATCCTTGTGAACAAAAGAAAACAGTTAATCTAGTGTAGAGCACCTACACATCCATTCCAGCTTTACATATGGTAGATGCCTAATATTTACATAATATAAAGAGTTCAAAAAACAAAACAAAAAATGAATAATCATCACAATCAACATATGGGCTAATGAACAGTTCACAAAGATGAAATACAATTGGCTCATAAACATATCACTAATAAGTAACTGCACTAACTGGAATGCTCAGTTTCAATTGACAACTTTGTGCAATATAGAATCACCTGGGAAGAAAGTCTTAATTAATGCCTGTCTAGATCAGAATTTCCTGTAAGCATGTATGAGGAAGATTGTGTTGATGGCATTAATGGACATGTAAAGGCTTGTCTATTGTGGCTTGCACCATTCCTGGGTTCGGGTCCCGCATTCTGCACATTTAGAGAGGGGACTAGGCACAGGAAAGCGGCACAGGGGCTGGATATATGGCTCAGGAATTAAAACCTCTTACTGCAAGATGCAGGGGATCCAGAATCAGTTCTTAGAACACTCATGACTGCTCACAATCATTGTTAACTCCAGTTGCAGGGACTCTGACACCATTCTCTGTCATCCACAGGTGCCACACATACACATTGTACATGTACATACTTCAGGTAAAACACTGATATACATACAATAAAAGTAAATAAGTAAATAAATATTTTTTGGGACTTTTTGAGACAGCATCTCCCTGTAGCCCCAGCTGTCCTGGAACTCACTATGTAGACCAGGCTGGCCTTGAACTCAAAGATATCTGCCTGCCTTTGCCACCCAAGTGCTTATTTTTTAAAAGAAAACATGCATGCATTAATGTGTTATCCGTCTCCTTTTAAATTGGAACATCATCTGCTTCAAATTTGTGCTTCTTGACTTCCCTGGAATGATAGACTGTAGCACAGAAGTGTGAGCTGAAGGAAACCCTTTCTCTACTAATTGCTTCTCTTAGGGTACTTTATCACAGCAACTGGAAAGGAAGCTGAGGCACCGTGAAAAATCAAAACAATATTGTGATTCTATCTCTTTTTCCTCCTCCAGTGTCTTTCTCCCTTACTTTTCTGGAGATGGTCTCTGATCCCTGAATGATACTGTTATTTTCAGTCTAATTTTAGGTCTCCTTCTCAAGGTTGTCTCTCTTCCTCCTCTCCCTAAACAATTATGGGCTTCTTGCACAAGCAAGATGGTCTGACCCCTTTCTCCCCCTCCAGTAACCCTGGTTCTGCTTCTGGACCCAGCCACATATATTAGGCTTAAGTTCATATAAGATGCTATTTAGAAAATTTCTCACTAATTATTTGTTCTAAATAAGAAAATGCTGCTCAGATACGGTTCTTCAAATTCTGACCTAATCAAGTCTGCAGTGCCTCCCTTCAGTCAAAAGGGAAAAACAACAACAACAAACAAACAAACAAATAAACAACAACAAAAAAACTCGTTATTCTTATCAAAAATTAAATGATGGCTAAATTTCTTCTCTTTCCCTGTCTAGATGTGATTTGGGACAGAATTCACACTGTGATTCTAGTTGTTATTCCAACAACTATCAAAGTGCTTGAAAAGCAAATCCCGATTCTAGCCATGACAGCCTGAAGAAAAATGAGAGACCCAGTAAATGGATGCTTTTGGAAGCCCTCATCAAGAAACTCTGATTTGAAAATTCACCCTGTTCTGACTGCTCTGGTTCCCTGCTAGAATTTGTGCCTCCTAACTACTCTTGCCTTGCCTTCTTCCTCTCTTTGGCCCACTGATACCCATCCTCCTTATAATGAAGATTATTCCATGCCTTTAAAATGTTTTCAGGACAGAATCTATGAGATGACCTTATGGTCACAGAGCCAGGTACTCTTAAGCAAACTCCCCAGGTCTCCTACCACTGCCTGACTGCCTGATCCACACTTCAGACCAATGATCCAGCCTTTTGAGACCACCCTTCTTTGCAAACATCCCTGTTCAGCAATAAGTAACTAAAGAAAGACTACCTTTGCAACTTATCATCAACAAAATGGTGGAATGTTAGGTTCCTGGCAGGCTCCTAAAACGGCTGCAGCTCCCAACGTTCTAAAATGGAAGAGTCTACCTAAGTCCCAGGAAAGTCCTTCTGCTTATTGGGAGATCAACCAATCCTGAGCTAAACTGTCCAGCCTATATCATGAAAAATTACCCAACCACCTAAATACCTAGAAAAGATGTCTGACTTCCCCTGATTGCTGTTGCTTCTCTACTCCCTGAGAGGCAACCCAGTGGTCTGTTCACTCTCAAATAAACTGCCATTCCCATGGAGTTCTCTGATCAGTGTTCTCTGTGCCCGCTTCCATGCAAATAGTAAACATATTGCAGAGATACATGTACATTAATGCTTACTGCAACATCATTCACAATTGTTGAACCATGAAACCTACCTAAGTATCTAATAACACAGAAATGAATAAA